CCATCAACCAAAAACATGCCTTTTATTAGCTATGAATACCACTGAAGTCATGTTAAAGAGAACGGAAATTGGGGCGCCTGGGTGGCTCAGTGGGTTGGGCCACTGCCTTCGGCTCAGGTCATGATCTCAGGGTCCTGGGATCGAGTCCCACGTCGGGCTCTCTGCTCAGCAGGGAGCCTGCTTCCTCCTCTCTCTCTGTCTGCCTCTCTGCCTGCTTGTGATCTCTGTCTGTCAAATAAATAAATAAATTTTTAAAAAAAAAGAGAACGGAAATTAACTGAAAAGAAATTTTTGCAATTACAACAACATAACAGTGCAATGTAGGGATGCAGATTCTAAAAAAATGTAGCTCAGATATTTCCATTTACACTGAAATTTATACATCAAGAATACAGCAAATACTGAAACAAAATCAGCTTCCTTGAAGAAAAGGAGCTGTGAAATTTTCAGTGAGAATGGGCTGCCCTCTGCTGGAAACTTTGGGAAGTTGCCACCAGGGCTGTGGCAACAAGTTTCCAGAAACAGTGATACTTGGAAGTAAAACAAAAACAAAACCCAAAAAAAAGCCACAAAAAACCATAGCAACAAACTTAAACTTTGGTGTTATTTTTTAGACTATCTTCAGTAATCACAGACTGTTAAAACACAATTATAGAAAAGGCCCAAGGGAAGGGGAAGGGGATACTTTAAAAAAAAAAAAAAAAAACCGCCTAAGATTCTTTTATAAATGTAGCACTGTAAAACCAGCCTCTTTTGCTACAGAACTCCACAAATATTTTACTGGTAAGAAAAAAAAGAGTGAGAATATATTCTTGGACATGCCCGGGAGGCGGACAGAGGTTTTGTTAATAGAGGCAAGAAAGAAGCAAAGCCAACAGCTGAATGACACCTGGAGTGTTCTTGTTGGTTGAGTGCACACACTTCAGGTCACTTCTCTCAAAATGAGATTAACCTTTGCTCTCATGTCTGTGTGTGCATGACGGGGGTAGGAGGGTAGCAGCAGCTCCAGAGGGACTTGGCCGCAAACCAGGGGCACAGCAACCAAGGGGAGGTCTTCACTGCATGTGTCCCAGAGTAGGGGGTATATATAAGATCTACGAAGCAGGCTCACCACCCACCTACACTTGTTTCATTCTGCTCACAAAAGCCACAGGCTCTTACCTGAGCAGACCAAGCAGTGCTGGTCGACAGGGTTTGAACTGGAAGGCCAGGCAGCCTTCCTCAAGGCTGGCTCCCCCTGCTCCTACACACTCCTCCCAATCCATCAATAAAATGGCACTTGAATGGGTCTGAAATTGCCAAAATGGTCATTTCTCTTTTCCAGATGTGTGCCATTCACATGTGCTGAAAAGATCAGAGGGAAGAGAACTATAGGAAATCATTAACATCCATTAGTGTACATCAGTACAATATTAGTTAATTGTTTCCCAGAAAGCAGGGCCCAGAGAGAATGGGTAATAAGGGCAGGTAAGGTTTGAGAGGCAGTTAAAAAAAAAAAAAAAGTGGGGTTGGGAGGAAGGCAAGAGGTGTGGACGGAAGCCTGCATGCATAGCTGGGACCGTAACTAGAAAAGCACACCGAACATTTTGCCCACTCAATTACCTTGGATCTCTGGAGTGATCATTTGCCTCCAATCTGTAACGGCAATAGCAGTGGATAGAAAATCACATAAAAAGTCTGTTGTTGTTTTTAGTGATGCCAGGGCCCATCTGCGACCACTAACCCAGAATTCCTTGGGGGACCCAAGCAGACAGCGGCAATTTTGTAAAGGGTCTCCGGGCAAGTCTGTCACGCAGCTCTGCCTGAGGATCACCGCTGTACCGTCACGTCCTCTCCAGCACTGAGGGTGACGCGGTCGAGGCAGTGAGCAAGCAGTCCCGAGAGCACACCCTTCTCACTCAGCAAGCTGAGGTTCAAGACTTAAAACAGTTACTACAGGACAACGGCAGCCGTTGCCAAACACCAGTTCTGCAGGTCAGTGAAGGTCCAAGAGAACCTTCCTATGGTGGGTGACGGCTGGAACCTGTGTTGTAAGTCTGTGAAAAACCCTGGACAGAACACATTTTTTTTTATTATTTATTCATTTGATAGATAGAGATCACAAGTAGGCAGAGAGGCAGACAGAGAGAGAGGAGGAAGCAGGCTCCCGGCTGAGCAGAGAGCCGGACGTAGGGCTCGATCCCAGGACCCTGGGATCATGACCTGAGCCCCTAACCCACTGAGCCACCCAGGTGCCCCCAGAACACATTTTAATTCACACACTGGAACCATCGAGAGTCAACAGTTCACACTTTCATCTCCAGGCATGTTGTCACACAACAAGCAGCCCAGAAACCAGAAGAAAAAAAAAAAGAAAGAAAGAAAGAAAGAAAACAGGAACAAAGAGAAAACACTACTACACTTAAGTATTTTATGAAGACACCTAAGGGTCACTTAAAGCCATTTTTTTTAATGCACCTACACAGGTAGCGTTATTTAATCCAACTTTTAATTTCATCATGAGCTATTTACGTGAAGAAGATACAACAGGAATTCCCAGTCTGTGTCGCTACAATTCTGTAACTTCATACCCCATCTCAATTTGCCTTGTTTTGTTTATCAAATCCATGACGTATGATTTGTTTCAATGTCAGGTCTATGTTAAACTCCACAGCTGACGAGAGCCGAAACAGCCTTCAGTTTAAAAAAATCACCCGCTAGCTTGGTTATTATTGAATTTGAACGATCCCTTACAAAGCCACCCTGCCGGTAGACTTCCCTTTCCTAACACGCCTGATAGGAATGGAGCACTCCCTCACACCTGGAGGGGAAGCCATCTGGCCCAAATTCATTCAGAAGATCTCCTGAGCTAAGTCTGACAGTCCAAAATCAAATAATAATAGGAATATTAAATAAAGGTACCAAATCTCTTTTTAGAAGGAATCTGGGGAATCTGCCTTAGTGTGAAAGTCTGTGTGTGCTCCAGGAGAATTCCTAAAACACACACAGTATTGAGCCACATTCACACCTTCCAAACTACCCTTGGAATACCAGAGGACGTGCAACTTGCTGTGTGTTCCCTGGTCTAAAAATCTGTCAAAGGGAAAGCAAAGCTGTGTATTAGTTGCAGGTTTCTTTCTACTTTTTTTCCTCCTTTGTCAAAAAACATGTACACTACCAAAATGTTCAGGGAACTGCATTGAGCTCTGGGAATACACACAAGTGTGACATGGGCTTTGCCACAGATGTGCCAGCGATGTTCCTGAGGGGCAGGTTTACAAGCATTCTGTGTCAAGTTCCCCTACTGTTAGCAAAGACACTAGGTGCTTGTGAGGGGTCAGGAAAGGAAGTAATCCTGTAGTCTAGAACAGCTTCGCAGACAAGAAACAGACTCAAGCTGGCCTTTCAAGTCCGAGTAACAGAAGAGAAGGATGACATTCTAGACAGAGAAAAATAAATTAAGGCTGTGGACTTCTCCCTCCTGGAATTGTATTAATAAAGCATCCTTCTCTGAACTGACTTGACAGAAATAAAAACAAACCAAGTTTCGTGGGCGTTTTGGGTCCTACGGAAAGAAAATTGGTAATCCATAGTATAAAACCAGAAAACAACAAAGAGTTACTGGTCATAGGAACAAGGTATGGGAATGATATTAGGAATTCGTTCACAAAAAAACCTTTTATTGCTCCTGACAACCCCCAAACAAAGGGGGAAATTACCTATTAAATATTACCAGATCCACGCTTCTGTGAATGTGAAGACTGTCTGAGTCCAGAGATTTTCCATCCAAAAGCCTAGGGTGGACCCAGAAAGTATCACTTTTTAGGCACAACACTGACCCGCTGAATAATCGTCCCAATGCTCCCGATGCTTGGCTTTTCCACTAGTACAATAACACTAACCCTCACGGGCTTTCATAAACAGAGGCTTCTTCCTAGAGTTTTCTGAATAAACATCCCAGGCTATTTGGCCTGGGGGAGGCAGGTCTATATGCTGAAGGGTCAGAGTGGTGGAGATGGGAGGAGCTGAGTTTTAATCTCCACCAAAGATTTAAAAGCTAGATGCAAAAGAGAAAATATCACCCTAAGAACAAGAAAATCAAATTACCAAGGTTTATTTAACTTTTTCTTTTACAGAAAATACAGGTATGTAATATAAACACTGACAAGTGAGATAAAGGACAGGGATCAGGAAGACAAATGAATTGGACAAGACTTGCTTCAACACTGCTCTGCTTCCTGATTTCGTGTGCAGCATGAATTACATGGTCATATATGTTGGAAAAATTAAAAGTAACATTCACCTAGATTTACCAAAACAGCAGAGGGCCTCTGAAATCCAACAATGCCACACAGAAGTCTGATCTGCTGCCAAAGGACAAAGCTAAGCCCACATCCATCTATCCATTTACTCGAGGCATTTCACGTAGTAACTTAATTTACACGTGCGCTTTAATAGGCTGTGGAGGCAAGGATGAAATTGTGCCTCTTTTCCCTCTTCAGAGAAAATAACTAAATTAAAACAGAGCTGCTGGACACTGGGCAGATGACAGCATAATCACAGTGAATTATCTCCATAAATCCCATGAAACGCAACACAATGAAGGACAGCAATTGGTGCTTTGCCCCCACAGTCACTCCACTTCTAATGGTATAAAATCACATGCGGTTTTTAAGGCTCTTCCCCAGAACTCCAAACCGGGAAAAATGACCCAAACAAATGATTGAGATCAAGAGCCACCTTGATTTACAACAATCTGCTTCTAAACTTGATTTCAACGATAAAAGAGTATGGGTTCCCAATTTCAATGATTATCGCAAGAGATTAAAGTGACTGATCTTTCATCGCAGTGTACCGGGTGATAGGCACACTTTGAGGACAGATGCCTAATACAGCATCTGGTTCTCTCATGGGGCTCAGTTTCTTAAGATCTGGGGTTCAGATAAGGCTGCTTAAGATCTAAAGATCAGGGGGACGCCTGGCTGACTCAGTCATGTGACTCTTGATCGCATGGTTGTGAGTTTGAGTCCCACACAGAGATTACTAAGAAATAAATAAACGTTAGAGATCAGCAAGCCCTGCAACTACCAAGTACACCCGCTCCCTCGCTCAGCTCCATAATCAAAGTTCTCAGAAGTCATCTGTGGTCCTTCATTTTTCCCAAACCTCAACAACCTGGGGAGAAACGAGTGCCCCAGAGAATACATCTTCACGGTGAGCAGAGTTTTGGTAGCTCCTGCGGAACACGGGTTCTCCAGAAGAGAAAGGCTTGTGTGACCAGGTGTTTCAAAACTCCTTCCCAGGCAAATCTGGCCTCCCTGGGGTTGTTGAGATTGAGATTTTTGTTCAGTGTGGTTATAGAACATCACATGAGAAATACTCATTTTTACAACAAAAAACATTCACCTTTACATCCCTTACCCACAGCATTTGGCACAGTGTTCCATCTATTGTGCTCACTAAAGATGGACCTAGAACAGAGGAAACCGAAACCTGGTCTTAAAAGGGGGTAGGAACGGATATTCCCAAGGAATCCCTGGATCAATTGTGATCTTTTTTGTGCTCTATTACAGTAAGTTCTTACTCAGAAGGCTTTTTTTTTTTTAACATGCAAGATGATAAAAATAGACCAGCACTGTATCACTCAGATCAGGAAAACAGCTACTCGCCCTGGACCTCCGTGATGGGGCTCATTTACTTCCGCAAAAAGCAGAGTGCTTTAGCCCTCGTGAATGACAGTATGCTGTTCTGCAGGTAGGACAAGAGCTTTCACCAAAAATTCTCTACCCTGGAGTCAGACCACAGATGCCAGTATCTGGCTCAGAAAGCAGGGACCAAATACTAGGTTAAATGCCAGAAAACTTTAAAGCAGCAAGTGGGACCCTGGCTTATCTTCACTCTCCAGTTACTGTTCTAAGCTGTCTACACTGAGTTCCTCTCCAATGCTTCAAACCCAGAAATTCCATTAGAGGGATACCAAGGAGGAGACGTGTTGTGTGGGAACTGGCCACTTCCTCCCCTATGACTTCTCTTCTCCTCTCTTGGGATCAGTTCCTGTTGGAAAGCCCTTCTCCCTGAAAAATGAAAGATGAAACCTCTGGAAAATAGCTTTATCCTATATGCAGATACTAGACACAATTACCTTGAGGAAATAAGGCACCTAGAATAGGACCCCAGATGGCCTATGTGGGAATCCAACTGATAGATCCTGTGGGGCTGCCAAGGAACAGGGCTTCCAATCATGAGCACTACTTTCCTGCCACAGGCTGGGCTGCATGGTGGGGTGCTGCTGTGACGGACTGACAGGCACAGTGGAGGTTCTGAAGAACTCAAAGAAATACAGGTACGTCTTCCTTAAAATAGAAAGTTACATTATCTATCGGGTATCTGGCCAACACCATCATTCTTCCAAGTGAGGTCTTCAGAGTTGAGAGAGGAAGTAGGAAGAGCACTAGGGGAGCAGTTAGGGGACCCAGGCTCCAGTCCTAGCTTTGTTACTGACTGGTCATGTGATCTTGGCCATGCCGCTTGACCTTCCCCGTGCCCCCCGAAGTCATTATCTGTAAAATGGGGATAAAACCACTTGCCTTGCCTGCCTCACGCCATGATTGTGAGGACCAAATGAGATAATGTGGAAGTGCTTTGTAAACTGTGGAGTACTGTGTGTATAGTCACAGTATATACTCATTACATTTTAATCAGGTCTTTATCATTGCCTATTTGACTAAAAGTGCCCCATGCAGAATGTGCTTTGCAATAGACAGACTCAAAAATCAGTGCTACAAATACACACTGGCCTTTTCCACTAGGGTTGTGAAAAAAAGGGAAAGTCTTAATTTCCTCAGAAATGGCCTCAGAATACATTACTTAAAAATGTGAGGCCATCCAAACCTACCAAGTGATAGAATTCATTTTCTCCAAAAAAGTCCTGTACAATTATGGCCTGGTCTGTGGATACCTTTCTACAGAGAAGTCTTGAATTCAAGAAACGGCATGCTAAAACTTAAAGAAAACATAGTTACAGTTTGTTGTAAAGGAAATAAAATGAAAATAAGAGGCATCCTATATAACAAAATTAGGTTACAGTTCCTCAAATGGTTGCCTTTTTTCCTGAGATATCTCCAGGACAAGGTCCTAGTCCTGTGAAGTGCTTAAGAGAAGCTTAGTCTTGCACAAGGTGAGAAGGACATGTAGGTTGGCAATTAGGCTGTGCTCATTTTCAGCACTAGGATTTGAACAAGGAATGCTAGGAGCTGCCAAACAGCTTTGGTGGCAAAAGCCCATATGGCCCCAAAGAGGCTTGCTAATTCTCAGATGCCAGGCCAGAGTATGGAGAAGAGCTTAACGCGGCCATCCAGTTCTGGGATTTTCAATTCTTCCTGTAAGGTGGTTCTGCTCTTCTCCGGTCTAGTAAACAATTGAACAGAAGAAAAACAGTAAGATGTAGAGCAACATTATCTACCAGACTGTAGGGCCTTTTTCTGCCCAGCTGCAAAAAGTTTACATGCAGAACAGAGACACAGGCAAGACGTGAATGTGAATGACTCTGATCAGCCCAAAGCACCCAGATTCCAGCATCCGTGCGAGACTGCCTTTATTACAAACGTTACAAATGATGACTTCGAGGGAGTCCCGTCAGTGCAATCACTAGTTAAGAGGATGGTCATCCTTTGGGGCCACAGGTGTGTTGCTAACCTCCACTTTTCTTCCTGATTTGCTTTGCTTTCCGGGGTTTGAGGATGGTATAGTTTGCATAGGCTGTATACTGATCTGATAGGAAGGGGACATAGAATGCCCGCAGCAACCTCGAAGATCTGAAAAACAAGAAAGCAAAAAGAAAAAAAGACAGAATTTCATCACTTGAGAGAATTTACCAGCAGTGTTGAAAATGGTGAATAGAAGTTACCTAAGTGCAGTAGGGATCATATTCTACGTATGTAGCACAGAAAAATCTGTCAGTTAACTACTAGATCATGAAAATAGATTTAATCAAGACCAAGCACCTTGTCTCCAACACCAAAAAGATGGTGTCCCTAATAAGCCACAGGGTTTCCTACAGAATAGCTCTAGGCCTTCACTTTGCATAGAATATACCATAGAAAAGTTTCAGGTCAAAGGACTGCTCTTACTGGAATAAATTCTTAATACCCAAGCAGTTTCTGTATCTAAGAGACTATAGAGATGCCAAATGCTCCAATGATCCTGATTCCAGTTCTAAGTTTCCTAGGAGAGGCAAAGAAAGCCATGTCCTGGGCTTCCTGTGCAGCGTTCCAGCAATGCCTAAATCAGAGGAAGAGAGTATACACACAAGCTCATATCTCTGGCAGGTGATAATATACCCACTTGTTACCAAAATACACAAACAGTGGAAAACCTGAATTTCTCATGGGTCTCTGAAGAATGTGGAAAAATGCCTCCTGTGTATTGAGCACTCGGTATTGGACAAGCACTGGAAAAAGTGCTTACACTTTTAAAAACCCTATTTAATTCACCCAATAACCCCATCAGGAAAGTGCTGTTATTATCCCTACTTCTTTATACGTGGGCACCTGAGGCTGCCACAGACAAAGTAACTTGTTCAGGGTCACACGGTAAACCATAGAGCCCTCATTCAAATCCAGATTTGACTCCAGATTCTGCACTCGGTAACCTGCGCTCTTGATCTGCACCACGGTTTATCCTGCATCCCAGACACAGACTAACCGAATTCATCACTTCCTAGAAAATGTGGCAGCGAGAGTCTGGAATTCTATATGAAGTCTTACTTCTTGACTATGCTTTCTGAGTCTGAAAATCAAAAGTTGGCCCAGTTACTGCCACCCTAAATGAGGGAGCTGAAGAGTGTTCTGCTGCCAGTCCTCTTCCAGACTCTAAACTTGTAAATGTCATGTCAACGTGGCATTTGTCCTGGCAGCCTCCCTCTGGCTTTGGCAGGCTCCCACAGTGCCTGCACACAATGATATCGTGCTTGGCATACACACCTCTTCGATTCTCCCCAAATGGGACGCTGGCAGAGTGCTGTGCTCAACAGAGATGCACTTTACTTCAACAGCTAACAGCTCAAGGGCTTTGATAAAAAGAGGCTTAGAAGAGACTCCCGAGATAAAGCAGGCCTGCTAACAAAATGAACAGGAGGAGGAAGCACCCACCTCTGTCAAAGAGAAGTTAGTTTATCCTTTCTGTCCATGCTGCACAGAGAAGGGGAAGGTCAGAACAGAGAATGGTAAGCCACAGGAAACTCCTGCAAGCTTTGGTGTAGTAAAGAGGGGCTGAGACGAATTCAGTGTCATTTCCATTCCAGTGGACTCTGCAGTCAAAGCCTTGTTAACAAGGTCAGTTCAGCCCTTCAGGCAGCTCCAGCAGAACATCGGGTCTGCTGGGTCCAATCTGAGTGTTTCATTTCTTTTTTTAACAATTCCTTACTATTTGGGAAGACTTATTTCATAATATTATTTGCTTTAGAATCTTAAGAACAAAGAGAAATTCTCCTTATTTTTAAAAATAGAATAAAACTCATTCTATCTTGTAATTACCATATGGATCCACTGCCACCTTTTATAAATTGAAGCTGTATTATGGGATCTTAGTGGTTTTATTTATTTTTTCCTGTATCTCAGATTAATTACAACTATGTTTTTTAAGAAAACTAAAATAAGACAAAGGAAAATGATGAAATCACCAAAAAGATGATGCAAAAGTAATCACTATTGCATTATATCCTGCAATTTCTAATTGCATTGCTCAAATTATTGTATCATCTTCCAATAAGGTATAAAAGAGCTGAGATGCTATCTTTGCAGTCAGCTTTTAACTTTCATTGAGCACAACTGAGAATGCAGGATCTTTAAATTTTCTGTCCATAATGACAATGAGAAGAAAACGGACAGAGGGAGACATTTCACAATTAGTAGATCAGAAATGGGTGCAAAGTGACGAAGAGCAGCATCCTTAGCAAGGATGGTGACACCGATCCTACGTAGAAGGTCAGAGTCAGTCTTCAGAGGACTGTAGCCTCTGCAGTATATATGGACGAGTCTTCTCCAACTCAGGAATTGAAGAGTGAGCGAAGTATTTCTCAGAACAAAAAGAAAGTAAGGTATTTGATTCAGTTAGTCACTCCACGGGGAGGACTTCATCAGTGTTTTGCAGCAAGAACCTAGACCACCCCGTTACACTTAAAAAGGGCATAGGACCATATTCCTTCATCTTTTATGAGGTCTGTGGGCCAAATTTTATTCGATATAGTCCCTAAGTGGACAAATGCTGAAGGCAGGTTAGCATACAAAGGTGACTAGAAAGGTATATATGGGGAAGAAATTTAAAAATTCAATGGATCATTTGTTGGTTTATAAATCTAAGAATGAAAATGTCTGAACTGTGGAGCCAAGAAGATAGTTAAATTCTCTTCAACAAAATTATGAGCCACTAAAGGTTTCAAAAAATTCTAGTTTTTCACTTTGATGATGCAAGTGCTAGAACAAGCAGAAGTGATAAGCTAGAATCTACTGGAGATATATTTAAAATCTGGAACCAGTACTTCCAAGATGGATATATTCCAGGTCTATGCATGACAACTGCATTCACAGGGGTCCATTTCAGGTATCTATGTATCTACATATATCTATTCCGAACCAGGAGAATATGGAACAAAAATTCACGGTCCCTACATTTTTTTTTTTTTTAAGATTTTATTTATTTATTTGAGAGAGAGAGACAGTGAGAGAGAGCATGAGCTAGGAGAAGGTCAGAGGGAGAAGCAGACTCCCCATGGAGCTGGGAGCCTGATGTGGGACTCGATCCCGGGACCCCGGGATCATGACCTGAGCCGAAGGCAGTCGTCCAACCAACTGAGCCACCCAGGCGTCCCACGGTCCCTACATTTAAATTATTAAGATTTCAAATAAAGGGTTTTTTTTTGTTTGTTTGTTTGTTTTACTAAGCTCTTATTCTTATTTTTGTAAGTTACTTATAAAATAACTACAAAATGTAAAAAAATGAAATGTCTGTTGGGCAAGACAGTAAATGGCAATGGAGTATTTTTCTTGGTGTGCTGATAGATCATGCCCAGAAACTCCAGAAGAGATCTTGGGCCATACAGAGGACATCATCAAAAATACTGACTGCCCTGAAATGGAAGAAGGGCCACTATGCATTACTGTTGAAGGAAAAGGTGGGCTGAGACAAAGGTAAAAAGATAAAGGAGATTTGGACAGAGTATGTGCAATACATACGAACGGATTAGTAGCAAGAATATACGCAACGAAGATAAGTGACTCCACAGGGGAAAATGACAAAGAACATGAACACAGAAAAGAAACACGAATTGCCAATACTAGTGATCTAGTTGGGAAATATAGAATACAAATGATATGTAATGATGACAGAGCAGTCACTAAACACTAAAAGCGAATACCAAAGTTCAAAGTGCTAATATACCCACCGAGAAGAGAGGACAAACACTGAGGGTTGCATAGGTTTGGAAAAAGCATTTACTGTATCTCATTTCATTTTCTCCATCCAACATTCCAAGATATACTCAAAAGAAAGGCAACTTGCTCTTTCATAACCAAATCTACAGATCTTAGGTTAAGAGCTCTGTCCACTCAGCACCAGCCAGAAAAATGGCTTGAATAAAATCCAAACTCTTTCTCATGGTCTACAAATCCCTAGGAGATCTGGCCCTTGCTTACTTGTCCCACCTCCCCTTGCACATTGTCCTCCTGCCCACTCCACTCCCACCACACCAGCCTCCTCCCAGTCCCTCCCTACCCTCTAGCCTTCCCATGCCATCCCTCCTCTCCCTGGAAAATGCTTCCACCCTGTTTTTTTCATAAATAAGTCTAACTCATTTTTTATTCTTCATCTTGGGGGCAACTTTGAGAGGTCTTGCCACGTCCTAGGAAAGCCTGGGTTTCCATTTTTATCAGTTAATCTCTCTCAGTGCACCCTGTGTGTTTATTACACTCTTTGCAGTTTGTAATTATACATTTATTTGTTGGTTAACTCATTTATTGTCTGTCCCCAACAATTCCTCCCCAGATTTCTGGGACCAAATGTTTTATTTACCAACAGCACAATGACTGGCACAGAGTACGTGCATAGTGGTGCTGAAAAACAGATGTTGGATGGATGGATGGATGGAAGAATGGAAGGCAGGGAAGGAGTGAAGGAAAGGGAAGGGCTGTTGAAGAGCGTGAGGGAGTGATTATATACAAATGAGATCTGAGTTTAACTCAATTCATTTCTTCCACCAGTGACTGGACACCATGTCAAGCAATGGTTTAAATGCCAGAAAAATAGTGGTGGACAGAAGATTCCTACTCTCAAAGGGGAATTCAAAGTCCCATTGATGTGTGGTTTGTAATGACCGTCTTGCTAAGGACAAGCATAGGTCTGCCTTGGATACCTGGAGAGATCTGTGAAGCATCCTGATTCTGCCATGTTTCTTCAGGGTACAATCACAAGAAATTCAGCACCGATTCTAATATGTGTTCAGGAAACAAGAAGTCATTTCTAGTTAAGCCTGAACACAAAACTATATAAAAGGTAGCGACTCTGTATAAGGAGAAGCTAAGAAGAATTTATTTATGTACTTATTTATGTATTTTTAAGGTTTTACTTATTTTTTTTAAGATTTTATTTATTTATTTGACAGGCAGAGATCACAAGCAGGCAGAGAGGCAGGCAGAGAGAGAGAGGAGGAAGCAGGCTCCCCGCTGAGCAGAGAGCCTGATGCGGGGCTTGATCCCAGGACCCTGGGACCATGACCTGAGCCAAAGGCAGAGGCCCCAACCCACTGAGCCACCCAGGCGCC